AAGATGTCTGCCATTTAAATGTTCAAGAAAACCAAATCAAGCAGAATATGTAATGTTTCAGGCAGGCATATTTAGTCAGAGTAAATATAAGTGGAAAACTACTGTTGTCTTTTTAGACACAGAACATAATAAGAAAAAAAACTGTCCTCAGTCAACGATTCTATATTGAATTGACATCAGGCATACTTAAATGTTAGATAATTATCTCATTGAAAAGCAAATCTAGTTTTAATCAAATATCTTTTATATAAAGTGAAATCTTGAAGTAGTGTGAAGCTATCTGACAACTTCCCTTTGCCTACAGATGACAAATCAAGCCTCATTATAGATGTCAAATTAGAGGAATAATGAGGTGCCATGTGTACACCAGAGAAAGCCAAGATTAAAATTAAATGTGTAAATTACAACCTCTAAGAGTATAGTTTTATCCATAAATATATAATAAAAACCAAATCCATGGTCTCAGTATAAATGATGAAAGCTCTCGATCATACTGGCAACTATATTCAAACCTTAATCTCTTTTAAACCACCCCAAATCACTAACTATTTCTATTTTAAGAAATCTTCTTTAAATGGACCCAACATGGAAAGGAGGAGCAGTCTTCTGGTTACTGTTGCAATAAGTCCATCTTCTGGGAGTTGCAGACAGAAATTATTGTCTTTTGTAATATACGAATAATCCACTTCATTTCCCTCCGGACAATGAAAATGTTCCCTGAGAGTCCCAACTGAGGCTAAGGAGGTGCAGGGTTGCTCGAGGGCTGCTCTTGTGGTTTTTGCCAGGTGGTAGTCCAGCCAGCAGCTGCTGCTAGCTTGCCACCTAAAATGATTACAGCCGCTCTTTCATGGGATGAATAAAGAATGGGTGCGGGCCGGGCTCGGTGACTCAGCCTGTAATCCCAGCACTTTGGGAGGCAGAGGCGAGTGGATTGCCGGAGTCCGAGGGTTCAAGACCCACCTGGGCTTGGTGAGACCTCATCTCTATGATAAATCAAAAATTAGCCGGGCGTGGTAGCGCACGTCTGTAGTTCCAGCTCCTTGGAAGGCTGAGGCGGAAGGATCACCGGAGCCCAGCAGGTCGAGGTTGCGGTGGCCAGGAACGTGCCACTGCCCTCCAGTTTGGGTGACAGAGTGAGACTCCAACTCAAAAAAAAAAAAAAGAATGGGTGTGGAAAGCGGGATATCGGGAGAGAATAGGGAATGCTGTCCATGTCAGCCTTTCCAAAGGAAAAAGAGGCAGGAGAAGGAAGGAGGTGCAGTTTCCCCCTTCCAGGACACTGAGCGTCAGGCATGCAGGCAGCCAAATGTCACAAACCAGGTCACCACTCGAAACTTAAAAGACTATCCCCAGTGAGAAACAGGATGAGAAGGTTGGATCAGTGGTGAGACACTGCAACCTATAAAACCAAACCTCGATATTTCCCTTAGGAAATTAGTCCTCTTCAAGAAGCCGATTGTATCTGCCCTTGTAGCTAGCACTGACTTGCTTTCTTCTAACCAAAAATAATTCTTATGAAATAACTGAGAAGCAGAGCAAAAAACAACCACCACAAAAACAACCCTTCCCATCCCCCAACACCCCTCCCCTCCCCCGCAGGATGGTGAGAGGACACTACTTGGGGGCAGGAGAGGGCTGGGTTGTGGATGCTAAAAGCATTCACAAGTGATTAAATCCTCCTGAAAAGCCTGTGGAAACAGAGAACATAATTAATATGTTGACAATGAGCACCTCGGCTTGTCTGATTGTCTCAGAGCACTCGAGCAAAACACAGTCCTGGCAGCCTGGCAGGGAAGAAACACACCAGAATTTTGTTGGAGTCCTCGGCAGTAAGAAAAGTGCCTAGGTTTTAGATGGGAAACAAGCAAAGGCCTCTGGATAACTAAACTCAACCGCTCACCTTAATTTCTGAATATTTCCAAGTATATTTGAGTTCATCAGAGATCAAAGGACAACAAAAGTGCTTTTCTGTCTGTGTTTTCATGCATAAAGCAGCTACCTGGATTGAGTCACCTTGCATTTTTCACCTAGTCACCCTGATGCCCTTTGATGAGGTGGAGAGGGGACAGGAGGCAGTCAGGGACAGTCCAATTCACACCACACACAGCACAGCAGAAGGCGTGCACTTCTCTGTTGACAGTTGCTATTTCTAAAAATACAGCTGTCTGGCCCCGAATCAAAAGAATTCCACTTCAATTTCCTGATCAATAAGACATCCTGCTATGGTTTTCTTGGCCTTATTTTTCTGCTCAGTTAGACTCTGGTCATTCTAGCTCAGAAACTGTGACAGTCTTGTATAGCAATGGTGACAGCACTTACTCTCAATCTTCCAGAACATATCAACGTAAAATTTGTGGGCCAAGTCTCTTCTTGTTAGATAACATCTGAATAGATGGATGTTATATCTAATCATGAGAGTTCTGTGCAGCATTCCCTAAGAAAGCAGCAAGTCAAGGATATACTTTCATCTGCCCTCGTAAAAAAGTTCACTGGACCAGGTGTGGTGGCTCACGCTTATAATCCCAGCACTTAAAGAGACCGAGGTGGGAGATCACTTGAGCCAGGAGGTTGAGACTGCGGTGAGCTACGATCCAAGCCATTGCACTCTACTCAGCCTGGGTCACAGAGCAAGACTCTGACTCAAAAAAAAATAGGGGGAAGTTCTGATTTATAACAGGTATACTCTAAACACCATGTGTAAAGGCATGACTACTACCTCTACCCGTGAGGTCACTGCTGCTCTGCACCCAAGTCCACAGAAATCCTTGTATTTCTTTCCGGAATTACGCCACTGTAATTTAAGCTATTGAGTGACCAGGCATGTACATCCCACACATATACGCAAGCATTCTGGTTTGTTAGCCTTCTTCAGACCTGCTCCACCCCATTCTCTCTCCTGCTGTCAGAGGAAGGCCTGAGAGCAGACTCGGGTGTAGTGAGGGGACGGAGGTGACATCTTCTCCACAAGAAATGGCAACTGAACATTTCCCACAAATTAAATGGTGGGATTCATACGCCCATCCATACACAAACTAGTGGAGAGGTGTTCTCATGGCCTTTTCACCTGAAAAGAAAGCAGAGGTCTCCTCAAAAAACTGAGCGCTGGGAACATCTTGCGCTAATAAAACAATGCTGAAGCAGTGTACTCTCAGAAAAGCAGCCTTGCTGGAAACTGGGATGCAGCCTCGCGCAGCAAAAAGGGCATAGGCTCTGGGACAGGGAAAATAGATGCTGCTAGTAAGCCGCACAGCCTGAGACAAGTCACTGAAGTTGTTTTGGTTCTCAGCATCCCTGTCCATAAAATGGGAGTAATGATATCACAGCAGCAATAACACCCCCTTGTTGTGATGATCCACTGAAACGTCAAACATACTAGATCAGATCCCAGGGCCAAACGTTCACCAAGAATCTAACAATGTGAAAAGATAAAGCAAACAAGCAGTCACCCAAGAATGAACTTTGAAATGATGCCGGACTGCCCGCCCTAAAGTCAAAGATGCAGTGAGAAACAGTTCTTTAAAGAAACTCAGTTCTGTGTTGGCACAGCATTTGGATAAACACCATTCAATCAGAAACCCTGCCGGACAGGGATTATGTTTAGAACTCAGGCTACAAAAACAACAAGATTACTTTTCTCACCCTCAGGGAGTTTACATTTGTTGAGGATTTACAAAAGTGCTGCTTTCATGATAGAACTAAACACAACATAGTTGCTCTTTCTCTTCAACGCCTTTGAATTTCACTCTGCTATTACATAAGCATAGGTGACAAAAGCAAATGTACTGTTAGCAACATCTGGCTCCAGTACCAATCTGCTCTCTTCTATCCCCTCACTTTCTCTGCCTCACGGTTACCTCCTTGCACAAGATAAAAACCACTACCTGGCTCAGCTGGTCAGAGCAGCTCCTGATAAGAGGTTTAGGTTTAGGCCAACCCAGCAGTTAATGTGCTCTGATTGCAGTCTGAACTGCACACTTCACCACCATTCACCCTACAAGCTCAGTCCTCTGTCCCACTGCCCAAAATCTGGGCCTCAACTAGGTAGGTTCATCAGTTGCTAAGAAAACAGCTCAAATCACACAACCCACTTGAAAAAGCAAGGCCACCCTGCTGGCTTGGGCGGATATTCATTAAGATCTTCACAAAAACAGGAATACATTTGTACCACTGGTATTATTTACTAACCTGAGGATTACAATAAGTTAATCACTATAACCTTCCTTTATTTCTCTCAAGTCACCCAGATTGTCTTGACACCCCTCACCCACCCCCCACCCCCAGCATCCTGTACCCTCTGCTCTACAGTGCCAGCCCTCTTCCACGGAGAAAAGATGTCAGACGAAGCACTCCAATGCCAACAAGACTAAGAGGCCCCTGCCAGCAGGCCCTGCCGGAAAACACTCGGAGACGGTGCGGCAGAGGCTGCGAATCCTTAGAAAGTGCTGGCGTGGCCACGCCTGACACTCGCGGACACTTGCAGCGGACCAGCAGGAGGAACACGGCTGTCCCTCTACCCACACCACACTCAAGGGACTCCTCCTGGACTTAAGGTTTATCCCCGAAAACGGCAGGGTACCCGGTGCCTGTGCGGTCGGGGCCAGAGTCACCGAGGGGCCGCAGCTCTTCCTGAAATTGCAGGAGAATTGGCGGCGCGTCGACAGCCCCCCCCCACACACACATCCTGCACGTGGCCGGTCAAGGCTCCCGAGCTACGGACAACCTGTCCCACAGGTGAGCAGCACGTGCCCAGCGCGGAGGGGGAGCCGACGCCTCCAAATTACGGCCACCTCGCCCCCAGCAGGTCAACCAGAGTAAAAGGCAGGACACGAGGCACGAGAAGCCAAGCGGGCTGAGAACCGGCGGAGACCCACAGGTCTTGCTGCTCCTTCCAGAAGTTCGGGATCAAGTTCCCAACGCCCGAGGCGTGCGAGCCAGGACGACGGCGGGAGGAGGCGGAGGGTCGCGCCCGCACCAGGCCCGGCGCCGAGCCGGCAGCTCACCTTGAGATAGTCGTTCTCCGAGCGCAGCTCCTCCATCTCCCGCAGCAGCTCCTCTTCCTCCGCCACCTGCACGAGCCGGGGATGCTCGCCGGGGCCGGCGTCCTTGAGGGGCCCGGGGCCCGGGCGCTCGGGCGG